CCTTTCTCTGACAGCCAAGGAGAACTTCCAAGTCCTACTCCATTTGTTTTACTGATGAGAAAACCTCGGTCCAGAGACAGAGTCGTGTGGCACACGGGTGCTGGGGTTACAGCCAAATTCTGCTGACTGTCTAGTGGGGGAGGTGGATGAGGAGCCAGTTCAGCAAGAAAAGCACAGGGGGTGTTGGACATGTGCTTGGAGAGAAATAAAGCAGGGGAGGGAGTGTCCGGTGGGATGGCAAGGGACACATTTAAATAAGGTCATCAGGGCAAGGCTCTCCGAGAAGACATCTGGGCAAAGACCTGAAGGAGGGAAAGGAGAACGCTTGAAGAAGAGCCAAAGGGAGACAGGGCTGAGGGACAAGGCCAGGGAGGTGACAGGAAGAGCCCATGGGGCCTTGTGGACATGTGGGACTTGGACTTAGACTCTGATTGCCCAGGACTGAGGCAGTCAAGGAAAGCTCCCAGGAGGAGGCAGGGACATTTGTTTGGGACCTGGAAAACAAGCAGGGCTCAGACAGCTAAAGATGGTAAACTCTCTCGTCGGAACCAGACCCGGGTTCGAATCCCGGCTCCATTGATTGTTCCTTATGAGACCTTGGGCAGGTTCTTTTCCTCTCTAAGCTGTTTTTCTCATCAGTAAAACAGCTATAATACTAGTCTCTACTGGCCACAGTGGTTGATAGGATGCAATGAGGCAGCACAGGCCCTGGACACAGCAGGTGCTCAGTGTATGTTTGCTGGGGTTCTTCTGGGAAGGGGCACATTCCTCGTAGTGCCCCCGCAGTCTCCAGGCCAGGCCCCATCTCTTCTTCCTTCCCCAGAGGCCCCCAGCCCTTCAAGCTCAGTTTGGTTCAGATACTAGGTGAGTAGCTGCCAAGGGTTGGGGTCCTCCTTGGAGGAAATCCAGACCCATTATCTAGAGCCAGCTCCCACCACAGTGCCTTTGCACATGCTGTTCCCACCCCCTGGGACACTCTCCCATCCCCTTCACCTGATTGGTTTAACAATGGGTTCACGTTACTTCCTGGTTGGATCTCAACCTAAAGGTCACTGACTCCGGAGAAACACCCCTGCGCCCCACCAGGGCGGGACTTCCTGCTCCACACTCTCACAGCTCCTGAACTTTTTTTTACCTCTCATCTTTTTCATAGTCTGGAGAAATGTCTGCCCCTGCCACTAGACTGAGAGACCAAGCTGGTCTTGTTCACTGTTGTGTCCTTGGGACAAAGAAGGTGCTCAATCCATAATTGTCAGCAAAAACCAGAAGTCTCGGCTCCAAATTGCTCAGTCAACCCTCTGTCTGTTAAACACAAGGGACTCTGGGGCCAAAGTGTAAGAGACCCACCCGCACTGCACAGCCATTCTCTGCCCCGAGTCTGAGCTGCTCAGCCCCTCAGCCCCCCAGGGCGTCACCCCCACCTCCCAGACGAATGGGGAGCCAGCACAGGGAGGAGGCACCAGGCCGAAGCACGTTTAATTTTAATTTAGGAATCGCTAAGGCTGTAGGCCTGCTCCGCTCTGGGCTGTCAATCAGGCTTCCTCAAGGCTGCATCAATTAGTTTAAAAATATTGAATGTAATTTTGCCTGACACAACATATTGCAGCTACTGCAAAATATAATTTATTTTAGAAGAAGAAATAATTAAACTAATTTGCATGTCAGTCAGCTGAACTGAGATGCCAAGTTGGGGGGGGACATGGAGGATCTGTCCCCTGGTGAGGGCACCCGCTGCTGGCCATTGGGTGAGGTCAGTGTGGGCCTGGGTCTGAGCAATTTGGACAAATATCCAGGCAGCTACAGGGCCCACAGACACTGTATCGAGACCGAGCACTGGACCTGGAGTCCGGAGATTTAGCACCCAAACCAGCTCTACCGCTGACTTGCCTGTGGCTTTGGGCAAAGTCCTGCCCCTCTCAGGGTCTCAGTTTTCTCATCTACAAAATGGGTTTAACAAGACCTCCTTAACAGGTTGTTTCTAGGATGAAATGATTTCAGAGATTAAGTTTATTATAAATTGGAAAGTTCTACACAAAGGTGAAGACTACTGAATGGATGGATTCTTTGTTTTATACCAGAAACATTTAAGGAGGTAAAAGTATGAATTATTATGATTATCAATTCTTATAAATGATTCTAACCTTGATTAGGACCACTCCAGAGGAAGTCAGTCAGAGGTGAGACACAGGCTGGGCTCCCCCACATGCAATTCACCCCAGGGCAGCGGTTGGCCACCCATCAGTGACCAAGCCTTGGGCATCTGTGTGTTTTAAAGACTTCCCAGGAGACTAATGCACAGCCAGGCTGGGGACCACTGCGATATCAAGGGCACTGGACCCTGACTTTGGGCTGGCCCACAAGCTCCGGGGTTCCAGGCCAGCCCCCAATTCTGGGGTCCCTGGGATAAGCTTTGCAGGTGGTAACCTTGGCAATATAGAGGCTCCCCCCCCTGAGGGCTTATTCAGCTGCCCCACCTCTTAGATCTGAGACCCTGGCTGGTGCCAAGGGGTTCAGGGCTTTCCCAAGAGGTGACCTGGGGCACTTTGAAAGAGGGCAGAAAAACCACAAAATGGTAATTATGCGGGATGAAGAATGTGTTAACTAACCTTACTGTGTAAACATTTCACAATCATGTATCAAATCATCGCACACTGTACACCTTGAACTTACACCATGTTATGTGACAATTATATCTCAATAAAGCTGGAGTTTTGTTTTTTTTTAAAGAAGAGGTAGGAGATGCCAGCAGAACTCAAAGAAATGGTGCCATACGGGAGCCTCTCCAGCTGTGGACCCAGGGTGGCAGCCCAGTGAGGGAGGAACTTGTCCTGAGGTCTCCTTCCTGCCTGTCCACGGGACTCCGTCTCTCCGTCTAGTCCCTGCACCGCCCCCACTGCAGGGGAGGGTGCCCAGGAAGGGCATTCAGGCCCTGGCCACCCCCCTACCCTCCCTCTGCCTCAGCAGGGAGAGAGGTGCCTCTTCCTGGCACTGGGCCTCACCCTCCCCGACTCCAGAAAGCACCCTCCATCTGTCTGTTTAAGCTTTCCAGCACCACGCTCTTAAAAATAACGGCTCACCCAGCATCCTCTGTCACGACTCCCATCTCTCGCCCCTGGAAAGACCCCTCTAATCGCTGAAGCGGCAGATCTGGGTGAGCTGAGAAGATAAGGTGCCCCTGCCTAAGGGGAGCTCCAGAGAGGGGTCGGGGTCTGAGTTAATTAAAGACTCATCCCCCCTCCTTTCCCCGACGCCCAGGAGGTGGCTGCACCTGCCTCCCCGTCTCCATTTCTCTCTATCAACACACAGCAGCTGCAGTCCGCATGCAGCGGGCCCTGAGTTCAGAGGAAGAGGCATCCGACCAGTCCCACTCCCCCCAAAACTCACGGGGCTCCTGGCTGCCTGGAAGCTTCCAGGCTGCCTCCAGATTAGGTCCCTGCCAGCCCCCAGAGACCCAGGATCGAATCACTGCCTGGAAGGGGGAGTTTCCCTCCCAGAGCTTGGCCCTGAAGAGCATGTCAGGGATGGACGCACGGCTGAGGTCTCTGAGGACCGGGCACCACTGAGCACTCAGAGGTCTGGGGGGGCAGCCAGAAAGGGCCAACATTCTGGGTATTGCTCAGAGAGGACAGTCTGGGATGAGGTGTCCCAACATCCTAGTGACTTGATGCCACTGCTGAACAGCCCCTTCCAGGGTGTTTGTTTATTCCACAAATCCTTATGTAGCAACTTGCTGTGTGTTGTAGACACAGTTTCAAGGGCTTTACAGAAACTAACTCAGTCTGTCCTCTTAACCTACCCATGTTTACTACACCCCCTTTTGCTGGTGAACAAATTGAGGCACAGAGAAGACAAGTGACTTGGCATGGGTCACACAGCTACCAAGTGACGGAGTTGGGGTCAGAACCGCTTGGCTCCAGAGTTCTGGACCTTAACCACTATGCTCCGTTCATTTTCCAGCTGTGGAAACTGGTGTCAGAGAAGGGACAGTCTTACCCAAGACCCAACACTGGCATTCGAACCTCTGTCCATTTAAATCCTTCCAGGTTTCATTCATTTGTTCAACAAACGTATTAGAACCTACTATGTCGTATCCCACAACACTCAGGGCCGGGGGAGTAACACCATGAGGCTGAGACCAAGACCTACTTCTCAGGATTGGGTCTTAAAAGAGCAGAGATTTGGGGTTCAGCTGCCAGCTGACCAAGTCTTTAAGCTCCTCCATGTTTGAGTTTCTCTTCTGAAACATGGGCATATAAATTGTACCAAACCACAGGTTTTCTCCAAGGGTACCTGAAATAATGGGCATGAACGCTCCAGCTGCCGTCTCTGCGCACGATGGTGATGACGTGGAGCTGGACAGCCATGGTGGTGTGGCTGGAGGCGGGACGGGTGGTGATGTGACAGTGGTGTGGGTGACAATGGCGGGGTCATGTTGGGGCTGGTGAGGGTGGTGGAGTGAGGGTGGTGGTAGTCATGGCCTTACTGTGTGTGATGTGGTAGAGGTGATCAAGGTGATGGTGGTGGCGATGCTTCTGATGGTGATGGTCTAATAGTGATGGTAACAGGTGTGGGGATGGCACTGGTGAGGGTATAGTGATGAGGATGTGATGGTGGTACTGATAGTTATGTCGGTAGAGGTGGCATTGAGAATACTAACAGTGGTAGAGGTGATGATTTAATGGTGGTAGTGGTAATAGTAATGCGATATTGACAGTGGTGATGGTGTTGGTGATGGCGATGGGTGGTATCGGTGATTATGGTGGTGAAGGTTGCGATGATGATGCCAGTGGTGCTGATGCTAATGGCAGTGGTGGTGGTGACAGTGATGGTGTTGTTAACCCACTTATGCCAGGTGTCCTCAGTCCTGGTCCTCGTACCAGCCTGAGCAACCCACAAGTCTCTCAGTGTGACCCCACTGCCCGATCTTGTCCGGCAGCAGGTGGGGGTTGTCAGGTCCCCCACTCGATGCCTCTCACCCTCCTCCTGTGCTCTTGTTACAGACAATCATGCCCAGCTCTCCCGGGCATCCCTAAGGATCCGAATCCTGGATGTGAACGACAATCCCCCAGAACTGGCCACACCCTACGAGGCAGCCGTGTGTGAGGATGCCAAGCCAGGCCAGGTACCACCCAGGGGCTGGGGCTGAGGGTTGCTGCCAGGACTGGCCAGGGGCTCCTGTACCCAGGCCCAGAGTGAGCTTGGCCTCACATCAGCCCCCTGCGCCCTCCTCACCCTTTAGCTCATCCAGACCATCAGCGTGGTAGACAGAGACGAGCCCCAGGGTGGGCACCGCTTCTATTTCCGCCTGGTGCCTGAAGCTCCCAGCAACCCTCACTTCTCTCTGCTCGACATTCAGGGTGAGTTACCTCTGAGCCCCCAAATCCTAGGGCGCATGGAGGGAGGAGCCTAGCTTGACTGCCTTCTTTCCACATTATTGGTGGAGAGGCTGAGACACCCAGAGAGCCAGTGTTGGGTCCAGGGTCACACAGAAAGTCGGGGCCAAGCTGGAGCTATTACCCAGCCCAATGGCCACACCCTGCAGAACAAGCAGGGGGTAGGTGGCCCAGTGGAGGGGGAGCATCTCAAGGGTACAGGTGGTAGATGGAAAGATGAGCCATCCAAGAGGAGTGGGTGGGCCAGAGGACCGGCGGAAAGAGCCTCGGTCTAAGTGAAGGTTGAAATAACCCTATATGTACACATCCCTGCCCTTCCATTTAAAAAGTGCTTTATCTCACCTTGCTCTTTGCATCCTTGCAGCCCTCGGGGAGGTGGTTTCCTTACCACTCCCTCCATTTTTCAGGGATGAAACTGAGACCCTAAGAGGGTAAAGGACCCACCCAGGGCCTACAGGGAATCAGTGAGACAGGTTCAAACCCTGTCTCAGATCCCTTACACTTCCTGCCTTAGTTCACTACTTTGAAAGGAAACTGCCCGCCCAGCCTGAGCTGATCCCACTGTGAAACGTGCCCCAGCAAGTTCCCGAGAACCTAAAGTCTGAACCTTTGAGGAATAGACTGAGGGAAGGAGGCGGTCAGTGGACTTGGGTCCCTGTCCAGGCTCAGTTGGTGGCTCTCTTGCAACTCTGGCAAGGCCGGCACGTCTGTAAGCCTCAGTTTGCATCATCTGTACAGTGGGGGCTGAACATGTCTGCACCTCACGTGGCTAGGTCGCTCCCAGGGGATGAGGGCTACCGAGGTATATGATTAGTACCTAGAACATGGTATTCCCTTCATTCGGCCATTATTTATTGAGCATTGGTGTCAGGCCCTGTTCTAGGCCCTGAAAATACAGTGGCAAACAAAATAAAAGCCCTGCCCTTTGGAGTTAACATTCTAGTGAGGGGGAAATGAATCAAATGAATAATGTGTTGGGGATGGTAAGTGGCTGTGTGTGTGGGGGGGGGGGGGGATAACGTAATAGCCACAAGAGTCTGGACTTTGTTTTATTCAATGCTGGCCCCTTAGGTGCCCACAGCAAGCAGTGTCTCACACCTAATAGGTGTTCAATAAAATGTATTAAACACAACAGGGGAAAATAAACCAGGGTAGGAATAGAAGCTAATTTAAATAAGGTGGTCTGGGAAGGCCACCTGAATGAATGAGTAGTGAGTAGGGCTCCGAAGGAAATGAGGGCCTGGGCCGTGCAGGCAACTGGGCAAAGAATGATCCAGGTGGATAGAACAGCAAGGGCAAGGTCCCTGCGGTGGAAGCAGGCCTGGAAGAGGAGACCTGTGTGGTTGGAGTGAGTGAGTGACCGGACCAGATGTCGACAGAGAGGGGCCAGGGGCCAGAACATGTTGGATCCTTCTGACCCTGGAATAAGTCTGGGATCCCCCCCAGGACCTTTACACCCCTTCCCCCCAAAGGGAGAGACCTCAGTGGCCTCTGAAGCCAGAGCCCCCTGTATTTCCAGGAGCCATTAAAAAGAGTTCACACCTAGTGCACTTCAGAAAGGACACTGGGCTTAAGTCACCTGAGCACGACCCTGGAGCTGGGCCCTGGAGCCCCTGCTGTGCCAGGCTTTAACCCCTTAGTGGCCTGACTGTGTCAGAGTCAGGGAGTGCCTGGGGGAAAGGCTGAGGCCTCAGGAAAGGACTTGGGGGGCTCCGAATCATGGTTCTTTAAACCTTCTTTGGAAGTGACAACCAGAATAGCCCTGCCTTCTCATGATTCCAGTGGTATCCTCAGCTGGCCTCTGGAGACACAAATAGCCCCGGCTTGACCTTTCCAAATTCATGAGTCTTTCCAGCCCAAGGGGCCTGGGGTTCTGCCCCGAACGCCTCTGTTTGACTGGAGGCCACCAGAGCTTCCATCTGGTGGGACCACCTGGTACAAGCCCTGGGAGCACGGCAAGGCCTCCTCCTCCTGTGCCCCAGCCCCTTCCCACCGTGTGCCAAGCCCCCTCCTCCTCACCGTATAAATATCCGAGGTGACAAACGGCTACCCCAACCCATCTGTTTCTTTGTACAAATTTGTAGCCAGTTTGGAAACGTGATTTATAAATATTGCTTTTGCAGCCAGGGACTGACACTGATATATGTCAGGCCAGATGGATGGATGCGGCGTGGGCGTGGATTCCACCTAGAGGTTTGGGGTAGGGGTCTGGGCTGGCCGGGGCTTTCCCAGCTGAAACCAGCCGCTGCCCCGCAGGGCAGCTCAGGGCCTCAGGGACAGTGCCCGGGGATTCCCTCTTGTGGGGTGAAGGAGTGGCAGGGACCAGAGCTCTCAAAACATATGGCTCCATGGCCAAAGACAGCCACCCTGGGAAACAAACAATCCTCTTCTGTCCTCTGTTCTTGCTTGGAAATTTGAGGCTGAGCCAGAGCCAGCCACTCATTTTTCAAACCTGTCTAATTCTCTGTGCCTCCACTATGGCTATTATCTCACACTTGACACACACAATGGCTTCCGAACTGCTCTTCGACAGCCACCTTGTATGTGACATTAGAAACCTCCTCGGCGAGAGTACAGGCTCAGCAGGGGCAGGGACCGTGTCTGTGTTGTTCACTGCTGTATCCTCAGGGGCGAGAATAGTCTGACACGTAGAGGGTGCTCCATTAGTATCTGCAGTCGAATGAACGAATGATATGTCACTAGGTCGCTTCTTTGCTTAAAACCCACCAATCCACAGCCCCCCATTGCTTTTAAGAAAATAACCCAAATTCCTTACCACGGCCTCTAATACTTTCCATGATGGGCCCCTGCCTCCCCCTCCAGCCTCATGTTGGTTCACTTTAGCCGTCACCCCCTCTCTGCTTTCAGTTCCTTGAGTGTATTATGCTGCTTCCAGCCCCAGGGCCTTTGCATGGGCTGGTCCCTCTCCTTGCACTCATCACTCAGCGTTCAGCAATAACATCACTTATTCTAAGATCTCCCTGACGTCCAGACTGGGTCAGGTCCTCTTGCAGGTGCTCTTCCTATACTTTTCCTCATTAGCCCTCACCATGGTTTGTAATTGCAGACTAAATTGTGGGTCTATTTGATTCGTATTTGTCTCTCACGTTAGAATATAAACTCAGATCCAGCACTATTGGTTTAGCTCTCCATGGTTTCCCCCCAGTGACTAGCATGGTGCCTAGCACATAGTAGTTACTCCATAAAGATTTATTGGATGGATGGGTAGAAGATGGATGATGGATGGATCGATGGATGGATGATGGAAGGAAGGAAGGATGGATGGAGGATGGATGACAGATGGATGACGAATGGGTGATTTGGGGTGGATGGAAAAGGTCGCTATGCCAATAATTCACTGGATAAATTCAGGTAAGTCACCAACGTCCACATACATAAAATGGCGATAATGTCACAACTCTTGGTTTAAGGCAGTGGTTCTCAACCTTCCTAATGCCGCGACCCTTTAATACAGTTCCTCATGTTGTGGTGACCCCCAACCATAAAATCATTTTTGTTGCTACCTCATAACTGCAATTTTGCTACTGTTATGAATCACCATCGGAAATATGTGTTTTCCAATGGTCTTAGGCGACCCCCGTGAAAGAGGCGTTCGACCCCCAAAGGGGTCGCCACCCACAGGTTGAGAACCGCTGGTTTAAGGCTTAAACATTACTATACGTTTAGAGTATCCACACAGTCCTTGATGTGTAGAGAGCATGCAGTACCTGCAGAGGCGTCCCCCACCATTCCCTCCCCCCTCCCCCGTCTTCCTCCTGCGCCTCCTTTCTTCCCCAGGGGAAGGCAGATGTCACAGCTGGGGTTGGCTCACCCTTTGACAGGAGGGCTAGAGTTCAAGCCAGAGCTCAAGGAACTAGCCAAGGACCCCAGAAGTTATCCAAAAAGTCGTGGTTCATTCAAACGTCGCTCTTCAAGTGTGGCTCAGGGCCAGCAACGAGACAGGCACACACTAATGTAACGCAATGTGACAAGGGCTAACACAGAAGTGTGCGCAGCGCCTGCGTGGTCAGAGCAGAGAGAGGGAGTCATAAATCCTTCCTTCCCGGGGAAGCGGAGAAAGGAGGCCACAGAAAGGAGGTGACATTTAGCTGGAGCATGACGGATGAGGAATTTGCCCGGGCAAGGAGGTGGAGAGGGTGTTCCGTAGAGCAAGAAGTTGGTGAGCAAAGGACAGCACAGCCTAGACAGAGAGAGGGCACACGGCGCAGCACCCGGAACATCGGCGGGGCACGAGGAAAAGAACAAGCAGCATTTATGGTGAATTTCTGTGTGCTGCCAACTGTTCTCAGGGTTATGCATGCATTTTACCATTTAATCCTCACACCTACGTGTTTCTATTTTCCTCAGTTACAGATTAGGAAACTGATATCCAGAGAAGCTAACTTTCCCAGGCTAGTAAATTGTTGACTTGGCCTTATTTTTAACATTTTTGTGGAAATTTCCAAGTGGGTGTAAAAGTGGGTAGAATCATATCACGAACCCTCCTGGGCCCATCACATGGGCTTCAACCCATGACCAGTCTTGTTTCAGCTGGGCCTCTAGTCCACTTCCTAGATGTGCTCAAGGTCACCCAACGCCCTCCAAGGGCTCTTTACCCCGCACTGTGTCCGGTCTGGGGGAAGCCAGGACTGGGGTCCTGAACTGGGGGCTACAGAGAGGAGACTGGGTTAACCAGGGCCACAGAGGCTGGGAAAGGGACCTAGGCCACCAAAGTCAGAGGTAGTGCGACCAGCTGAAGACTTCAAGGGCAGGGAGGAGGACTCAGGAAGGCAGGGCCCCTCCTGCGGAGCTGGCTGTGAAGGCTGGTGACGGTGGCCAGTTGGGCTCTGAGTACTTCTATACCACCACGCTGGCAGCCGTCAAAATGATCGAGGCTCAAGGATGGCCCGACCCATACAAGAGAGCTGTAGAGGAGACAGAAAGGCCAGGGGAAGTGGGCGCCACACGACGTAAGCCCTTGTTCCAAGACCAGACACCCACCCCGCAAGGCCTGCCTGGCATTCCTAACAACAGCCTCCAGCAGGGCACTGAGTGCCTGTTAGTTCACCATCCTCTCTGGCCACGTGGTTTAAAAAATAGGAAGGAGGTGGGTGAGGAAGCGTTGGCATGATCGGGTCCCTCATCGGGTCCTGGCGGTCATGCCCCAGCCCCCTGGGCTCAGTCTCTTAGACTCTTGACAGAACGTTTCTTCAGCCAGAGGCAGGTGCCGCCAGTGTCCACAGTCTTTTCTGATGGCCAGGACTTGTCAGGGCCCAGCAAGCCACAACCCAAGGGCCACAGGTCCCCAGGGTCAGGATGTATTGGGCAGCTAGGGTGGAATCTGGAACAAAAACAAGCTGCTGAGCCCTGGCCAGTTTGGCTCAGTGGTTGGAGTGAGAGCCTGCGGTCCAGAGAGACCCTCGGTTCGGTTCCCGCTAAGGACACGTACCTCGATTGCAATTTGTCCCCGGCCCTGGTTGGTCGTGCGGGTGGCAGCCACTCTGTGTCCCTTCACGTCAATGTTTCTCTCTCTCTCTTCCTCTCTCTCCATCCCACTCTATCTGAACAAAAAATGGAAAAATGTCCTCGGGTGAGGATAAAAAAAACAAAAAACAGGCTGCTGAGACAGATGGGGGGTTGGAGGGGAGACATAGCCAAGGTCAGGACCTTGGCCCAGCTAGGGACCGACCTTGGAATAGCTTGACTAAGAAAAAGAATCTTGAGACAGCTGGGGAGAATCTTGGGACAGCTAAGGTCAGAATTGTAGGCTGTGTGGCTGGGGACAGGGTCTTCGGGCAGCTGGGGGCAGAATTTGGGGACTGTTGGTAACAGAATTTTGAGAGATGGGGTAATAGACCCATAGGTCAGCTGGGAGGCTGTAGCCTGGGGCATAGGGAGGCAAGCCCCAAGGTGGAATCAAGCGGCGGCTGGGACAGGGAAGCTGACCCTGGACCCCAGGTCATGTCCCTCCTTCCCCTGACGCAGACAACACCGCCGCAGTGCACACGCAGCACCTGGGCTTCAACCGGCAGGAGCAGGACGTGTTCTTCCTCCCCATTCTGGTGGTGGACAGCGGGCCGCCCACGCTGAGCAGCACAGGCACCCTCACCATCCGCATCTGCGGCTGCGACAGCTCTGGCGCCATCCAGTCCTGCAACACCACGGCCTTTGTCATGGCCGCGTCCCTCAGCCCCGGCGCCCTCATCGCCCTCTTGGTCTGTGTCCTCATTCTAGTTGGTGAGTCTACCGAGAGCCACCCGCATCCGACTGGCCCCATCCCGGGGCCCTGGATTTCCTTCCCTGGTCGTCCCCGTGGGCCTCAGTTTCCCTCGCCATCCACAGAAGGGCTGGCCTGCATGCTCCCGTAAGAAGTCTCCTCAGGACGGAGCAGCCCCTCTACCAGGTCCACATGGTGTCCACCCCACCTGAGACTCACGTTGCCCGGCGCTCAACACAGCCCAAAGTCTCTCTAATTTTTAAAAACTAAGCATATTTTTAAAAATTCTTTCTTGTATGTTGTCCTCTTTTATTCTCTATATAAGACTTTTAGTAAAGGGCTCTTGTGAACCTCAAAACCATTCAGCCAGGTGTATCATCCCCATTTTTCAGATGAGGAAACTGAGGCTCAGAGAGGTTGGGTGCTTGCATAAGGATGCAGTTAGTCCTGTGACCTGAAATCACGTCTTTGCACCCTGTGTTCCCTGCTCCTTTACCCCACCTGCTGTGAATCTAAACTGCGGGCAAAACCTCGGGGCAGCTGGGGCAAAATCTTATGAATTTGGGGTCCAAATTTACTCTGATGTCAGTTCTACCAGCAGTCCATTGAACCCCCACTGTGTTCCCAGTGAAGAGGTCAAGTTCCAGGAGCTAAACTGGATTCAAGTGGCCATAATGCCACTTGTCACCCTGGCAGCAAAAAGGCCTCATCTCAGTCCTGATTGTTGGACTTCGCGGAACAGCCAGAGGTGGAGGAACTCAAGAGAGGTCCCTGTTGCAGATACCGGCTTTGCTCAGTTCCCTGGGAGATGTCAGCTGCCCTCCACCCCTCCTCCTTACCGACCACTGGTATGGCACTGCCCACACTCCTGAGCACCTGCCTGTGGCCAAGCTGTGCCTCCTCAGGTCCCTGCAGAGGCCCTGGCCAGGCTCCTCCTCTCTCGGAGCCCCCGGCTTCCCTTCCCTCCCCTCCCCAGCCCATGGCTCAGAAACCCTTTTTCCAGAGGGTGCACTTTACAGCGGTTTCATTTTCCGAGGCAGTGCAAACAAATTTCTGCCTAATTGCCCACAAACGAAGAAAGTGCACATCAGTGCTCTAAAGGTGACGGGCGGAATCGCTGATCGGGCCTGGCACATCTGTCGCCTGCCGCCTGTGCTCCCCACCATCTGCTCTCCCGGGCATCCCCCTCTGCAGCTCCCAGCCTTCAGCTCCAGAGCCATCCATCCATCTTCCCCACTTCTCTCCTGCCACCTTCCCTCCCTCCAGACCTCTCCTTGGCCCCCACCCCCTTCCCTGTCACGAGCCACCTTGTTAGGCTGTGAGCCAGCACCCTGCTCCATGGCCCTAACAGCTGGCTCTGGCCACTGGCCCTGCCGGAGCTGTTTGGAGCAGCAAGAAGAATCCTGGGCCTGGCGTAGTACCCAGCCTGTCTGTCCATCCATCCACCCACTTATCCAATTAATTCTCCCCTTCATTCATCAGTTCCTTATTCATCCATCCTGTGAGCCTCCCCTCTGTGCTAAGCTGTTCTAGACGCTAGGACTCATCCGTGAACAGAAGAGACTAAAAGCCCGGAGTCACTGGAAAGTTGGGGTTGCCATCAGTGAGATGGAGGTGACTGAGAGCGAGGATGAGGGAAAGATTTGGGCAGGCAAGTTAAACCTGAGATTCTCTTGGTCAACTCAGAGGACTTGTTAAATAGGAGACTGCATGTACAGTCTAGATTTCAGGGGAGCAGTCCAGTCTGGAGTTTGCAATCTGGGAGTTGTCAGCCTCTCCACAGAGCTCGCAGCCACGAGACAGAAGGAGAGTACCAAGAGAGGGGCCGTGGGCGAAGATCCAGGGACTGAGTCCTGGGACATCTGAGGCTGACGAGTCGGGCAGGAGCAGCCTGCTCAGATGGCTCAGTGATCAGAGACAAGGGAGGAGGCGGAGGGAATGGAGTACTGGAAATCAAGTGAAGAGAGCCAAGGAGGGATGATTCATTCATTCGCTCATCTTTTCACTCACCCAGGTTTCCATCCGACTCTTCATTCAGTCATTCATTCAACAGGCACGCTTCACACGCTACTGCACACCAGGCACCAAGCTAGGGGAACATTCCCCAGGTCCTCCAGGGTAGTGGAGAGTGTGTACTTTGGGGTGGGGGAGACCGACATGTCACCACAGCAGAGCCTGTGGTATGATGGGCAGTGGCTCTCAAACCTGTAGATCTAGGGTGGGACCTGAGAATTCACATCGCTAACAAGTTCCCAGGAGATGCTTGATGCTGCTGGTCCAGGGACTGGGGTTTGAGATCCAGTGTGATAGAGGGAGGAACCCCTCGTGGACAGAGCTTGGAGGTGATGGCCCTTCTGGAGTGGACAGAGGAGGGTGAGGGTGAAACAGAGGTCAGGGTCAAGGATACCTTCACTCCCTCAGCTGCTCCCGTCAAAACCGCCAACACCTAGAAACCTCAGGGGTGTACCTCTTCCTGGAGTTGAGGATGAAGACCTCAGAGGTTGGGTTCAGCCGTCAGCACCCATGAGATCTCTGAACATTGCCCTCTGTGCCCCCACTGGCTGTGGCGGTCTGGCCCCAATTCGCCCCCCTCCCGAGATGGGTATGGCTCACTACTTCTCCAGATCCCCTGGGTGGGGGTGGGGTGCCGGGCAGACCTCACTCCCTGTTCTGTCTCCCACGCAGTGCTGGTGCTGCTGATCCTCACCCTCAGGCGCCACCACAAGAGCCACCTGAGCTCCGACGAGGACGAAGACATGCGGGACAATGTCATCAAGTACAATGACGAGGGTGGAGGCGAGCAGGACACCGAGGCCTACGACATGTCGGCACTACGGAGCCTCTATGACTTTGGCGAGCTCAAGGGCGGCGACGGTGGCGGCGGCGGCGGCGGAGGCCCGGGCGGGGGCAGCCCACCGTCCTGCCGGCCCTCCGAGCGCCACTCGCTGCCGCAAGGGCCGCCGAGCCCCGAGCCGGACTTCTCGGTATTCAGGGACTTCATCAGCCGCAAGGTGGCGCTGGCGGACGGGGACCTGTCGGTGCCGCCCTACGACGCCTTCCAGACCTACGCCTTCGAGGGCGCGGACTCGCCGGCCGGCTCGCTCAGTTCGCTGCACAGCGGCTCGTCGGGGTCCGAGCAGGACTTCGCCTATCTCAGCAGCTGGGGCCCGCGCTTCCGGCCGCTGGCCGCGCTCTACGCCAGCCACCGCGTGGACGACCAGGCCCAGGCCTCCTAGCCCGGGCCCTGCGTGGGCCGCCGCTTGCCCCACCCGGGCCCACTGGCCCTAGGACAAAGCCTTTCCCCTGCTCACCCTCTTCCCCAACCCCCCCACCTCCCAGGGCAGCCGGATGGGAGGGGGACTTGTTGGGAGTGCACTCCCCCGGAGCACCCCCCAAGCAGGGGAGGAGGGGGTGGTGCAGCGTTGGGCCCAGAGGTGCGGGAATTATGACCAACGTCATTAAAACTGCAGCGAGACCAGGCGCTGCGTGGATCTGGGTTATAAAGGGAGATCGGATGTTGTTGCCGCGAGGAGAAAGGGTAGGTTGCTCACTCCTGGCTTGGGGGAAAGCCCTGGGGTGGGGAGGGACGCTGCGAGCGCCCCCCACAGGTTTCCCCCGTCTGAATTAAAAGGAAAGAAGGGCTGTTCATTTACTAAGCGCCTACTGTGTGCTGGGATACTGTAGAGCAGTGGTTCTCAACCTTCCTAAGGCCGCGACCCCTTCATACAGTTCCTCATGTGGTGGTGACCCCCAACCATAAAATTATTTTCGTTGATACTTCATAACTGTAATTTTGCTACTGTTATGAATCGCCATCGGAAATATGCGTTTTCCAATGGTCTTAGGCGACCCCTGTGAAAGGGTCGTTCGACCCCCAAAGGGGTCGCGATCCACAGGTTGAGAACGGCTGCTGTACACTCAATTTTAGAAACCACGAGGTGGGACCCTGAAGGTAGATGGAGAAAGCCACCCAGAGAAGTGGCAGTGACCTGTCCAAAGACACCCAGTCAGAGAATGGTGGAGCCTCTGGTACTTGCCAGCTGCCTGGCCTTGGGCAAGTAATCTCACTCCTCTGGACTTGGGTTTCCTCATCTGTCAAATGAGGCTAATAACAGAACCACCTGGAAAAGTTGTGAGGATAAAAAGGATTCAAAAATAAGGGGTTTGGATAGTACCTGGCACATAATAGGTGTTCAATAAATGTTAGCCTTTGATACTATTACTGTCTTTGTCATTATTAGAAGCCCAGCATGTCTGCCGCCCAGGTATGAGCTCTCTCCTTTGTCCTCCCCCTTTCCCCAACATCTCCGAGGAAGGAGGAAATGGTCTCAACTGCCTGTCCTGCTCCTGCGCTGGGCGGGGAAGAGGGACGTTCCCAGGGACTTCGGAGCCTTCCGGAGTCTCAGACAACGCTAGGATAGGACACCCGGAAGGGATGCCAAGAGAGGACAAGCTGGGTGTCTCCAGGACTTGGATGAGGTGGGAGGATTGGTGAAAGATGAAAGATGAAAAATGATCGGAATGAGTGCAGTGGAGACCTTACCTGTCTGGTCCTGGGACCCAACAGTCTCCACATTCATGGACCCCAAGTTAAGCTCCCCAGGGGTTAAGTCATCTCTAAGCCTACAGCTCTAAAACCATTTAACTATAAGATATAGATTATTTGTCTTCCCACCGCACTCCCGAGTTATTATCCAATTAATTATCCCACCGCACTCCCGAGTTCTTTATTCATTCCACATTGTTCTGCTGTGAATTCCAGCACCTGCTACCTGGGCATCCTTCATCAAGGTCCTCAACAGCTGAAGCCTCAGTTTCCTCATGTGTAAAACAGGGCTGATGACAGCCCCTCCCTTAAGGGATTGTTAAAAGGCTTAATGGAGATCATGAATGTTAAGCTTTAATCTCAATGCCTTCTTCACACATTGAATGTGATCAATAAGTGCTCGTTAACCTTATTTTTTTTACCCTCCCAGGGAGCATTCATTCATTCCCTCCACATTTACCTGGGTCTACTGTGATAGATCCAGAGATGGTCATCCTGTCCTGAGTATCTTACCTGTATTATTTCAGCTAAGTTCAATATTATCAGCCACAGTTCACAGGTGAGGAAACTGGCTCAGAGAGTAGCAACCCACCCAAGTTGCACAGGTCATAAGTCATTCCTGCCTTCCAGTAACTCAAAGCCCAGTTGGGCAGAGTGAGGAGGCAGGGGGACAGAAGTAACCAGTAATAATGCATTTGGTAAGAGTTGTTGCAGAATTAACAGAACAAGGTCCTGGAAATACTGAAGAAAGATTAATTCCTGGAGTGCTTCCCAGAGGAGGTGACTCCAACTGGATCTTGAAGAATGAGTATGAGGTGGCTCAGCAAGCCGAGCAGAGAGAAGAGTGTTGACATAGCCTGGGGACAGGTGAGAGGCCAGCAGCATGTGGTGGCTTCAGGAGCAGCGTGCGATCCCAGGGGCTGGATCACTGGGTGGAGGGATGGTGAGATGCGAGGCAGGAGGGCCCGTTGGAGGGAGGTTGGAAAAAGAACTTGAAGGCCAGGCCAAGAAAACCTTGATGCTTTGCTCAAGTTGAACATGTCTCCTAAAGTCCACAGAGGGTGGCTAATGGTAGGGGCATGAGGTGTGTGTGGGAGGCTCAAGTCAGGGGATATTGGGACCCTCATCCCATGTAGGACCCTTAGTCCATAGTTCCTGTAGCTCATGCTACAAGTGGGTATGGTAACTTAGGGGCTGGTAGGGCACTATGCGATCCCCTCTCCCACCCATGTGTGCCACTCTCACGTACAGAACCCCAACAACAACTCAGAGGTTGGTTATGACATCCCCATTGTGGAGGGGGAAATGGAGACCTGGAGGAGTAAAGTGACTGGCACCCACGAGACAGGGCTGGGACAACACAGGACCCCTGATTCCAAGTCTGTTCCTTCCACATGTGCTGGTTCCTTGACAGATCTGACCCTGCCAAGTAGGAGGGTACAGCCCGGTGAGGTGTCCAGAAGGACATGTAAACATGGAGTCACAGGGCACTTGAACATCTTGTCCACATCCCACTCGTGGGGAGTGACTTTCTCAGGGCCACACTGAGTTCAAGGTCTGGCCAGAAAAAAAGAACATGTTTCATCCAGATTCATCTTCTGAGCCTCTGGCTCTACCGTTTGCCAGCTGTGTGACTTTAGACAAGTGACTCTGGACCCTCCTGTGTCTTCATTTTCTTACCCACGAAGTGCACACATTCAGGACGCCTCCAAAGGGCTGCAGTGAGGATAAAATGCGGTGATAACCACTGACACTGGGCATTTCCCACGTGCCAGGCTCTGCTCTCAGCACCTCACGTAATTACTCACTTAACCCCTCAACAACCCAAGGTGAGGAAACCGAGGCACAAAGAGCTTAAGTAACTTGTGCAACATCAAACAGCTTACAAGTGGAGATGCCGAGACTTAACCGGGGGCTCTGGCCCCCAGAACCTATGCCACCAGCTGCACACACAGTGTCTGGCACACAGCAGGCAGTGAGCACATGGCCTGGTGTGTCCCTGTCGCTGTCTGTGCCCTGGGAGAGCATGTTCCTCCCCTCACTGCCATCCCACAGCCTGTGGGCTTCCTCAAGGCTCTCCATGGTTTCTGCTTCTCCAGGGTGGGCGTGTGGGGAAAGGCAATGCTTCCTCAGCCCCCTCTGCGTGCAGCCTGCATTTGCCGTCTCCACTGCACCCTCACCAAGCCCGCAGGGAAATCCGGTGAGTCCAGCCCCTTCTCTGGGTTCCACACGGTGTCCACGGACGCCATGAATTTTGTGAGCTTTGTACACTTTTCTGATGGTTTGGGATCACAGAGAAGGGTCGTATGGAGGACACAGCCTTGGCCATCTGTCTAGTTGGTACCCATCAAATTCCCCAAGCTCCAAATCCTCTCCCTGTGCTATGCAGAGGGCACCCCGCCCCATGCTCCAGGCTCCGACTGGGCACACCCAACTCTGCCAAGGAGCTCAGAGAACACAGAGCCTCCCGGTGACCATGTCTGCCCTGCTTACAAGGCATCTGGGATGACAAAAAGAAAAAACTTTCCATCACTGTCAGCATCACAGGATAAAAGATCGGGGGTCATGAGCAAGAATCCGTGTATAATTGGCCAAAAGTTTAGGACCAGCAATATTAATGACAATGAGATGATGGTAATAATGGTGATGACGGGGACACATCCAACAGAGGGCTTGCCGCATGCCAGGCGCTGCTCTGAGTTCTGCACATAATTCTCACTCCTACGGGCAAAACCATGGAGGGGGGACTTAATATTTCCCGTGTTTAGCGGTTTACATAAGTTGCCTTGTTTATTCTGAAGCAGGAAAATCACTTGCCCTATTTTGCACACGAGGGACCCAGTGCTCACAGATGAGGACTTGCTCAAAGGCCAGGACCATTGTCCACACACCCCACAGGAGTCCGCCCAGGACCAGGACGACTTGGGTTCTGAGCGGAGTTGCTGGGCAAGTGTGGGGAGGGGAGAGAAGCAGTCGGGGAGAAGGGGGGCACTCCAGACAGATGGCAGAGCTGAGGAGCAAGGTGGAGGTGGGACCCAGGCACAGTCCAAGCCTAGGTCTGCGTGTCTGCTGTGTACCCACGTGCATGTGTGTGCACGTGGCTGTGGGCACCCACCAGGGAAGTGGGAAGTCAGCGCCAAGCACACAGGTCAAGAACTAACCCCCCTCGTCCGGCTTTAGGCAGCTGAGAGAGCCGGCTGCCATCCGAGGGGACAGCCACGCGCCTGCCTGTCTACATCAGCCAGCACTGCTGCCCGCCCCCCGGGTCACGAGCCAGCAGCACCACTTACCTCCTGCCAGCAAGCGCTCTCAGGCCAGCTCAGTCCCTGGTCGCTGAGCCTTTGGAAAATGTAACCCTGTCAGCCCTTACTGTGAGGCAGAGGGTTCACGCTTCAGTGCGTGCACAGGGGTGCACAGCACGCCCACGTACTCATGATGCACGCACACGTGTCCCCTGAGACACGTTCCGGCCTCGTGCACAGCACAGACACAGGCATGCTCACAGCCATGCACCCCAAGCTTATCCCCGCAGGTCTGCAAGTGTGCTCACACGCCTGCACACCAAGGAGGCAGGCTCTCACGTGTACACTCACATTTGTACACAAAGCATATACATGCGTTTTGTTGATGTGTTCTCTTACAGGTATGTACATGTGCCTCCACTGATACATTTCCATGAGCCACCACATCCCATTCAGGCATGCACTTTTGAACATATGTGAGTTGCAGGCACACAGTACATATGTGTGTATCCCCTCAGATGTGCTTGTATGCATGAACTCAGCTCTGTATACGCGCACTCACGCATGCACAGGAAAGCATGTGTAGCCTCAGGAACAGTCAGTTACAAACTCTAGTTTCAAGTGTGTGGTGCCCATAGATGTGTTTGCACATGTGAGCACATGTGAGTCTGCCTGTACATAACATACATGATGACATATAAGGATCTAAACAAACAGGCATCTCCAACAAGCGCTCAGATCTACACCACACTCACACACATGCAATGACATACACCCCCGTGCATCTGCCTGTCTGTGTACTCCACTTCCACACCACAGGTCCTTGGCACCAAGC